AAAAAAAAGAGAAGAAAATTACACTTACTCTGGTGTAGTAAAAACACCATAAAAAAGCCCATCTCTCTCTATATAATGTAAACTTTTAAGCTCATCAAAGTAGAATGGGTATTCTCCTGGAATAGAACAGTTTAGCCGAGCTTTAAGGAAAGTTGTCCAATTGTCTTTGAGCATAAATTGCCCTCCTACGTCATTCTTGCATATTCTTCCAATCCGAGTATATATTTTCTGAAAGAATAAAGTTCAAGATACAATAACTTTGATTAGAGCCTTGTACTTAATTTCAAAATATTTATGTATCAAATCTGTATCTTAGGTAGAGCATACACTTCTTACCTTTGACCTATATAACAAAAAGTGCAGTTCTAAACAACTTAAATTAAAAGTCTGGAACATAGCAAGGAAATGGTGCACCAAAAACAAATTTTACAAAAATACTTATTAAAACAAACTGCTGTAAATGAAGCTGTAAAAAAAAATTATAGATAATATAAATGATTAAATTCAACATGATTACTAAAAAAAATGAAGTGATCAGTTAATAGAATAAAACCAAAAAGTACTAAAGTCTATTTTTTAAGGAATTTTATGAGTAACTCTATTTTGTCAAACTTAAAACTACTTTAATTTTTTTAGTGTATCTACATCTAGAAAACACATACAATCAACTTATGAAGGATAAAAAATATGAAACCTTGGGAACATGTAACTAAAACTGGATGTGACAAGATCTTCCTTTAATACAAGTGACCCTTCAATGCAACATTTCTGCAATATTTATAAAATATTAAACAGTACATAACATAAAATAATTTATGAATCTATCTAGTCAACTGATATTAGTAATAAACTTAATAAATGAGTTTTAGAATAGAATCTGACCTTGCCACAGTTCATGTATTCAACTGCTGTTTCTCTAAAGAAGAAATATACAAATTTTCCAATTTCATAAGAAGCAATAAAATCTGGTTCTGAAAAAAAAGAAAAAGTTAAAAACATATTATTTTCTTTGTATTTAGTATTTGTTATGAAAATATAACCATTTTTATAATTAACATATCACACTTAACCAGAAGAGTTAAGTTAATATCAAAATAAATTATCAAATATATAAAACTATTTTAATCAAAAGACTACACATAACCAGAATGGGTTCCAAGCTCAACTGGTATCTAAATAAGTTATGATGTATATGAAATGTGGAAGTTTTATTTACAAAACTGATTTTCAATTTCATATTTAAAAATGCTCTAGCTTCAATTACATTTACTTTAAGTAAGCTATAACATTTATGATATAAGACTGATTTCAGTATGAAACAATAGACCAAAACTTATTTCAAATGAAAGATTGAGATGATCATGAGAAAATATATGTCGTGTACCTTACATATGCTAGCCCTTCTTATGTACACTTAAAAATAAACCAATGTAAAAAAAAAATGCTATGGTTCAGACAGAGAACTGTCTTTGAGAGACATGAAGTAAAATTTATAGAGTATTAATCTCACAATATTAAATGTAATCAAGTGTCCTAGTATTAGATTATAGCTATAACTAGTAATCACATTTTACTTATTCCAGACTGTTATAACAATTTCACTTTATATAAATAGTTTATAAATGTCTAATACATAACAGAATTAAAAATTATTCAGTGAAAAGTAAAAATGTCTTCCAATTAAGCCAAAACTTTTATCCCCATCAACAGACTAATAAGTATTTCATTTCGATTTCAATGATGAGGAACCCACCTTGAGACTAATAATGGTTGGAGACGGCTTGAATGGGTAAGGAAGAAAAACTTTAATATAAGTTTAACATAACAGCAAATATATAACGTTTCAACAAGGTTTTGTCATCATCAGGTACCAGTAATTCACACTCACACAGATATATATATATATATATATAGTTCGGACTGCATAAATGAAGAAATTAACCACATAAAGCATTCCTTCATTCACACCAATAAATTTTCACCAGCTATTGTTGAAAAACTATCTAACATTCCCCACAACAAAACTCAACTCATGAACAAAATTGATACAAACAAACCCAACAACAGAACATTACACTGCAGTTTACCTTTTGTTCCTGAAACCAGCTCAAGAATTATCCACACTTGGACAAAAATAGCCATTAAACACAATATTCCTGTCAATGTCAAATTCTCACAAAATCTGGCCCTAAATTAAAATCATTACTCAACAAAATTTTTTAGAATCACACAATACCAACGTCATTTACAAAATAACATGCAATAACTGCCCAGAATTCTACATCGAAGAAACAGGAGGAAAATTGGAAACCAGATTGACAGAACCCAATAAAAAATCGTCCCATGTTTTTTCACCATTACAACTCAAAAAACCATAGTATATCTATTAAAAACAGTCATTTTAAACAAAGAACCAAACATAAACAAACGAAAAATCAAGGAATCCATCTTAATTGAACAAAACAACCCTACTCTAAACCAACACCTTGGGGTGCCATGATACCTCTTCTAAGAGTGTAAATTACTTTTGACAAAAACCTTGTCGAAATGTTGTACATTTGCTATTATGTTAAACTTATATTAAAGTTTTTCTTCATTACCCATTCAAGCCATTTCCAAGCATGATAAATATTTAATTTGTTATATTAATTGTTAGGTTGATTTTTAGTTTCACTCTAAGTTGAGATAGTGTTCTGACACAAAGTTAATATTAATTTAATACACTAACAAAATAATCTTCAAGAAATAAAACCACAATTAAAACATATAGCTTATAGTGAATCATTACTTAACAAATTTAGATTTAAGAAATAATTATTTTTTGTAACTTACCACTTAGCCATTTTCCATCATATTGGACCGTTCGTAAATAAGGAACTTTTCCCATAGCACGATAAACTGCTGAGTCTCGAGAAGAGAAATCTAGAGCTGAAGCTATGTAATAGTCGCCATCCATAGTCAGCAGTGCAGATATGTTATTATTAGGATTATATGGACACTTGGCTATTCCAGGAACAGTTTCATAGACCGTGTTTAATGATTGAATCTGTATTTACAGAAGAAATAAAATAAACATTGCAAATCACATTAAGATATCACAGTAAATATAGACTGAAGTGCCTTGGATATTATCTTTAGTAAATGAGCAATGACTCTTGAAATGGATTCTTTACTTCATTTACATTTACACAACAAAAAAATTCTCTATTTAGCTAAATCATTATATGTTTACTTTTGTGTAAATAAAGTTTTTGAATTGTCATGAAATTTGACACCAAATAGTCTAATGATAAAACCTAATTTGAAAAATTCAAATCTAGTAAGTTATTTTCCTTTAAACAATTTAAGATTGAGAGAGAAAGTTCTTAGATGAAATAATACTGAAAAAATTATTATTGAGACAAAACATTTAACTGATTTTAATTTTTTAGAAATTTTCATTATTGAAATTAAACTGCTTAATAAAAGTTCAGTGATAATTAATAATGCAAAACTAGTTAACTTCATGAACTTACATGTCTTAGTTATGTTTATAAACTAACTAAAATGATACCAATAAAAAATAATAAATGAGTAAAGATTGGTAGAAGTTAATGAGACTTACATCTCTCCAAGAACATTCAGGAGAAAATGCATTTGTTCCACAAACAAATATCTTGTCATTGTGGGAAAGGAGAACTTTTATAAAGTTCCGACAATTTTCCTACAGAAAGAATAAGTTATTCTATATCATGCATGATGAACATTTTTCCTAGTTGTAAAGTTATGAACTGTTTTTTTGAATAAATACTTTGACTAATTTTTTTTAATACATTTAGTAATGAAGGTTTTAGACTCATTTTAATTACCATCTCAGTCACAGAAAGTTAGTTACTTTTACAGCCCATAATATTATTAATAGTGAGTGTACCCAAAGAATAAAACAATGCATATTAATTTTTATAAGCAACAATGTCAGAAAAACATATTATACTCATTATAGGTTGATTTTTAGTTTGCTCTAAATAGGTAGCTTGTTCTGATCAGAAGTTGATATTAACATAACACAAAGTAGAACGAAAATTACCCAAATAGAGACTATTTTTCACATTAGCATAAATGTTTATTTTTCCTTGTATAAGTAGTATCAATATAAAATACATGTACATAGTTGTTTATAAATATAGTCTACAAATTGAATTAAACTCCAAGTGCTCTCTCTTTGGATTATGGGAGATATGTAATTATTAGCCTTGAAAAAACATAGGGATTTCCTTCCTAGTGGTTTTTATGTTGTATTATTTTGAAAATTATAATTTATTTGATATTATCCAATTCCAACTTAAAAAACTACAACAAATGATATTTAATTGTTATTTTTATTTACTAAATTACTACACAGATAGAATTTCAAACGGAACATCATTAACGCATTTATTTTATGAAATATTTCCCAAAGATGTTTTTTTTGAATTAAATGGCACCAAGAGAGTAAAGTTAATTAGGTTATAATTTCTTCAGTATGCTTTTACTTTTCTTTGCAATGATGTACAAATTTTTACTTATAAAACAAGTAATGTAATAGCCTGTATCAAAATATTTCTAAGTTCCATATCTGTTTTACACATGAAAATAAAAATATATAAACAGTTCATCTTACAATAGATTGTCCTTTTGTCAGACATTCACTTATCCTGGATTCTAAAGAAGGCAGATGAGCTTCTTCTATTTTTTTTAACTTGTCTAAACTGAATCTGAACAGATAGTCACTGCAAAGAAATGAGTAACTTATGTGAAAGATATTAAAATAAAAGACTCAACTAAAACAATCAACACTAAAACAAAAGTCAGTTTTATAATTAAATAACAAATACAAAAGTTGTAAATAAACCTAAATCATTTTACTGACACTTATTTAAAAAATTTTAACACTGAAAAATGACTAACCAAAAAGTATTACTCTAGTATAATCAGTGTGAAGAGCTCAATTAAGATACATTATAAAATTGCTTATTAAAAACTAAAATAGAAACAGGGGATTTTTTACTCTTAATGCATAAAAATACACAAGTTTATAAAAAACAAACGAGTTTTATATTTTATATGTTAAACTAACTAGACTTCAAGAGGCATAAATTTTAATTTGAATATGTAGCTTAAAATGATTAAGCAAGTAAATATGGAAATGAAAATTATAACAGAAATAGAAAAAGCACTACAAAAACATGTTCAAATTGTAAATATTGGAACTATTAATTTGGAAATTCAGCTTATGTAGCACTTTATTCAATAGTGATTTTTTTTAATTTTACTGACTAAATAAGAATAATCATGAGATAGTTTTCCTAGTCCACTAAAATTGTACATAACAGGTTAGATGCTTAATTATATCAAGTACGAAATTGTTTCAGTTAAACTCAACGTAAATTAAAATTAATCAAAAACAATGGAAAAACATTTTTGTTACAATAAACTTAATTTCAATTCAAAAAAAAAGTTGCTACTAAATTAGAAATATGTTTTACAAATATTACAAGTAGGTTTGTTTGTAATTAAGCACAAAGCTACACAATGGCCTATCAGTGCTCTGCCCACCACGGGTATCGAAACCCGGATTCTAGCTTTATAAGTCCGCAGACATACAAAGCCTGGTATAAAGAAAACTCGTGAGCAACAAATTTCAAACTAATTGTTTAAAGTTATAAAATATTTGTTAATTTTTGGCAGGAGGATTTGAACGTTTCACAATATAATTCATAGGAAAATGTTTAACCTGGTGTTTTAAGAAAAAAGTACTTAATGTTTAAAACATTTCAATAAAAATTAAGTTATTTTGTTAAATGATAGATTTTTTTAATATGATTACAAAATATATCAAAGTTATGTCACAAACCACTAAATTATATAATTTGAATCAGTGTTTAGAAAAAAAATCACAAACCTTAGTAAACAAGTTATTTATTCTTTAAATGTATGTGATAGTAGTTCCAGTAAACATTACAAAATCATCTGGATATAGGGTTCAACAAATACTATTGTTACGTCTCCGTTCGTTAATTAACTTTCCGTAACTTCGTTCCGACGAAACTTTAGCGACACAAGTCCTTACTTAATAAAACTGGTTTATTCTTTCCGAATATAACTTT